TTTATATATGTATATATGTCCGTGTATATATATATATATATAATTATAATGATTACCCACAGATGTAAATCTTTTTTAATAGTGCGCACACTGATAATCTATAGTTCTGTTGAACATTTACAGTTTGTAATTTACATACGCAACCAACAGCAGAGTGAAGGCGGCCGCCGTGGTGATCATGGGCATGGATAGCAAGGAGAACTTCATGATATCAGTCGGCTTTATAGATGTCGTATAGATGCCTGTTGGAGCAGAACTAGTGCTAACTGGAGAAATGGAATACTGTTCTTCTCGTCACAAGTATTTACATGTATTGTAGTTACAATATACAAAGACGGATGTAAACTATAATTATGTGTGCACTCAGCACTGACAGCAAGGGAGTAGTTATAAATATTATTGGGAATACTTCGGCGGTTGCAACTTCCATCTCTTTGTTTTATTTTTGTATTTTATTGTTATTTTGTATTCTTTTTTGTAAAAAATAATCAGTTTGTATGTAGGCGAAGGTCAAAGAGGCAGCCACCGGGCTTCTTGTTAATTTTCAGGATTTTTTTTTGGTTGTGATACAAATCGGTCTTTCACTTTCTTTTGGTTAAAAAAAGTAAACCTAAAGAGTAAAGAGCAGCCCCACACGCAGGCATCCGCGATTCCGCTACAGATAAGTATATCCGAGTTCAGACTCCAGAGGACTCCAGACTCCAGAGGACTCCAGACTCCAGAGGACTCCAGACTCCAGAGGACTCCAGAAACCACCAGACCAGACCAGGCCTGGGCCCTGGGCCTGGGGTATGCCGTATGAATGGGTTTCTACTTTCTAGTCACTGACTCATGGCCCCATGGGTAGTGGGCTACCTCTGTGGGAATGTCTTTATACGGCACTGGTGACAATAAATTTATTAACCACCTCAGGCCCAGTTTCCTACTAGTCTCATACTTGTACTTTTTGAGTTTACTTTGCTTTTTTAAAAGATGTAAATATCGTGATTTTAGCCCATTTATTGCACTTGTTGCATTAGTTCTTTGTCGGCCTCAGAGGAGAGGTCGACGTATGTTCGACACGATTAGTGTCAACTGTAAAACCATGGGCGAATTCGAAGCAACAGCTAAGACAGAGGACGCCTATATACATGTGTCTAACTGCTAACATATGTCAAGCCCTTAAGACAGACAAGAACCTACCTTAAGTGCAACAAATGGGTTGTATCCGCACTACAATATCTAACATTTAAGTCGAGCGCTTTCAGCCGACAGATAACAAACTAACCGGCAGAAAACAACATCTCACAAGTGCTTGAAATCACGCTAATTACATTAATACACCTATATTTAAGCAATTTAAACTCGAAAAAGTACAAGTATGAGACTGGTAGGAAACTGGGTCTGAGGTAGTTAATAATTTTATTGTCACCAGTGCTGTATAAAGACATTACCAGTTGTCCACTGAGGGTCTGAGTCTGACCAGTGGGCAGTGGGGCAGTGACCAGTTGACCACTGACCAGTGACCAGTGACCACAGCATTACTATTTGTAACACAATATTTACAATTCGTCAATTCCACAAGCCACAGGACCACAGTCCACAGGCCACAATCCACAATCAGTGAATCGGGAATCCACAGGAGTGAAGAGGACCACAGCTCCACAGTCCACACTCCACACACAAACATTCTCTTTTGTAGATAAAATATATTGCAATATATTATCATGATTGGTATTTATTTCTCGTCGATCAGTGTCTCCCTATAGCTTTTATATACGTGATACTCATTGGTTGTGAAACTGGTAAGAATGTTGGTGAGCGTTTTGTGATACGAACCTACGATACCGAATTTGTAGAGGTCTCTCTAAACTCTAAAGGCACTATGAGTATGTGAGACTGTGAGTATGACAGTCACTCTCTCTACTCTCCTTCCTAGTCTCTCTTGTTGCTGCGTTGAGACTTGAGACTCTAGAGCTAACCTCATCACGTATTACGCTGCAACGTTTTCAAATGAAAAAGAAAAAGTAAAAAGTTCTATTTCCTATATATTCGTAGTCCTAAAGCTACCCATAAGAGCATTGTCCAGTTCAGAGTTTTGTCCTAACCACATAGTACCTAACTTTTACCCGCCCAACCATCGGTTCTGGAGACTTGAGCGTTGGTTGAGCGTTGTCAAGTATATTAGCCCGCTACACTGTCACTTGATATTGACGTTGTTCACATTCTAGAAGTTAAGGTATATATAATTGTTAGAGATATCTAGGATTTACAGTCTACAGGCAACAGGCTAAAGAGTCTACCAGTACGACTAGTTTGACTTTTATGTGTTATTAGTGACTTAGTGTCTAGTGACTAGTATGACAACTTCACAAGTTCACAAGTGCCATATTGTCAGATAAAAAAATGCAAAGGTAATCACTTTCTAGTTGTTTTCATTGGTCGGTTTTGCATTTCGTGGCCAAAAGTGTGAGAATCGGTGCACTATCGTGGGCAGCAAATCGAAACAATTGAGGTACAAATTGAAGCAGTAAAACGTTGCAACGTTTTCAGACGAAAAAGTAAAAGTGAAACGTTCAACTTATATATCAATATAACTTTACTTTATGAGGTTAGCTTTAGAGTTGAGTCTGTTCATTTAAAAAAAAAATGCCTGATGGCCTTAGTTGTTTTTTTTAAACAAAAATGACCTCGTTTGCCTATAAAAATGGTGTTTTTTTAAACAAATTTAAAGTAGAGCCTCGTGTGTAGCCCAGGACTCCAGGTGTAGTCTTCATATTTTATAGTTTATTCTTTAGGAGTTTAGGACATTTATAGAATCCTTAGTTCCGTTAACTGACACTTTATATAAAAAACGCTTTACGAATTGCGAGTCCTTGGTCCCTCTCTCAAGAGAATCACTATTCTTTACAACTTTTAAGTTATAGGTAAATACTACATATTACATACTCCAACTGTACTACTTTTTAGATATGAGTAATTAAGTAGGTTGTGCTTTGTGACGTGATACATATGGTGTTTAGATCAAATTTTACCGGATAAGATATGCTATAGCGAGGGAGCGACTATGAGCGAGTTATCATTTTTTACTTCGAATATCACTGAAATCCGAAATCTCGGGGGGGTTTTTTAAAAACAACTTCTGGACTTCTAAGTTCTAAGGTGAATGGAACGGGGTCATCTCACTGGTTAGATATGAGTGGTGGACTGAAGGCTTGTGGACTCGTGGCTCGTGGGCCGCCTTCATCAGTGATCAGGTCATCAGGGCCGAATGTCTTTATACGGCACTGGTGACAATAACATTATTAACCATCTCAGGCCCAGTTCCCTACTAGTCTTATACATCTACTTTTTCGAGTTTACTTTGCTTTTTTAAAAGATGTAAATATCGTGATTTTAGCCCATTTATTGCACTTGTTGCATTAGTTCATTGTCGGCCTCAGAGAAGAGGTCGAGAGGACGTATATATGCATGTGTCTAACTGCTCACATATGTCAAGCCCTTAAGACCGACATGGACCTAACATAAGTGCAACAAATGGGTTGTATCCACGCTACAATATCTAACATTTAAGTCGAGCGCTTTCAGCCGACAGATAACAAACAAACCGGCAGAAAACAACATCTTACAAGTGCTTAAAATCACGCTAATTAAAATACACCTATATTTTAGCAATTTAATCTCGAAAAAGTATGTATGAGTCTGGTAGGAAACTGGGTCTGAGGTGGTTAATAAATTTATTGTCACCAGTGCCGTATAAAGACATTCGTGGCAGGATAAATTTACAATGTTTGTTTTTATTATTTTTTTAAATATTACGACAATCAAAGTTCAAAGTTCAAACACACATGGAGCTTTGGAAGGCTCCGTTTCTTTTTGACTTTTTAGGTTTTTTTATCAAAAATCAGAACAAAGAGGGATGCTTCCTCTTGATTCTTCACTCTTCTGAGTTTCGAGCTCTTTAAAAATCAGTATCACACATACTTGAAACCAATAAAAAGCTTGGCTATAAAAAACCCCTAAAAGCCTGAAGGCTGAGTCACCAGCAGCACAGAAGTGAGCAATTATAAATTATAAAATAGTTTGTGCAGTTGACTGTGTCACTGTGAGTGTGAAAGTGTGAGCCGTGAGGCGTGAGTGAGACACTGACTGTCTGACAGACTGACAGTTTCTGACACTGTAACACTGCCATAATCAGCAAACGGCAATTCGGCATCAGAATTTAGATATTCAGATATTCAGATATGCACGTGATAATGATGATGATGATACATGAAACGCTGAAAACACTTGGCCTATATTTTAGTTCTTTTTTATGTTCTTCGGACAATAGTCCGATCAGGCATATTAATTTATTCAAGTTTTTATTTTTTTAAATAGTGCAGTAGCCAGATCACTCTAAAATTATTATTTAGGTCGCACAGTGCACATCACTGCCCTGCACACCGTTTGGACATTCGAGATGACAAAATTGCCAAATTGTCCAATGTCAGGTCCACATCCATGGGTGGCGGCCTGGTGGGTCCAAGTCTCCTAGACTCCAAGAGAATTGAAGGGCATTCTGCCATAGCCTTCTAATTCTAAACCGACATAAATATTTAGAACATGGTTCTGTTAATAATTTCGATTGTTGAGTGGTTGGGGAATACTTGGGTTGTGGCTTGTTTGTGGTTGGGCAACTTGGGTATTACTTGGGTTGGTTGTTGGGTATTTGGGTTGAGTGAGAGTTTGGCCCTATGACTTCAGTTATAAACGTTTAAACCTTTTTTTAGCTTAGAAGTAGAGGTTCATCTTGAAGTTGAACGTAGTTGAACGTAAACCTTATACATACAACGGTTTAACGTATAACGGTTTGATCTTTAAGTGTAGTATTTTTTTATATAAAAATATCCGTAGCCCTCAAATAAATTATATTTACAAAATACCCTTATCAATCAGCAATAATATTGTAAAATCATCTGGTATCACTCTCCTACTTTTCGTCGTCTTGCTAGACTGAAAGGTAAATATTTACAAGTATATCCAGCGATCAAAACAGACACGTTCTCATTACGTACTAAACACTAGAGAGAAAGCACCTTTCACACACGTTCGAAATGAAGACAGCATTCATGGGCGTGCCAGCCGTACTCTCTTTCGTTGCCTTCGCTCTGCTAGTGGTTGCGTAAGTTCAAGAACTCGCGTTTTGTTTCAAGTTGGTTTACTTAGACTGTACATGTGTTATTACATAAGTTGGATACTTCCGAGTCAGTAGCATAACACGGCGTTCTCTCAATTGAATTCAAGATCTACTGATCTATAATAGTTTACTGTTCAGCGTTTTGCAGTTCATAGGAAAAAGTGTTTGATGTGTGGTTTCAATTATGTGATGCCAGATTGTCATTGCGCATAGGATACTCTCACGTTTTAAATCCTTTTGTATCGAGTGTTGTGGAATAAGATATATGTTTGTTTTTTTGACAGCATGATATTATGAAAGTACTAGCGATACTACTTCGATTCAAGTTTGCTGCATTAAAAGTCACTCAGGAGCTTCGTGATTGGATATTCAAGCATCTGGTTATATACCCCAAAAACTTTACTTCATCTCTGCAGCGCATGTACCCGTGTATGGATCAGTTCAGACGATGGTCTAGCTCCCGGTACTATCAACGCCATCAGTGCAAGCCCAGGCACCTACCCCTCACACTTTGGTCTGTGGTCTGGATGTATGGCGTACGCGACCAATGGTGAACAAGCTGGCTGTGGCTACATCACCGGGGGATGCAGTAAGTTTGAAAACGCCAGATATAGTACTTACTTTGCCTGTATAGCCAGTGCACGAGGTGAATCTGATTATGTGGTCCATAGTAGGTTTCTCGTTTGCTCGTTCGTAGTATGTGTTGATGTGTTGTTTGTTGGGTCGAGACTACCGGTGAGTATGTTGAATATAGGAAGACGCCTATGACGATCGTACAACCGCACACCACGATGTGGACTATACTTCGCTATCCCAATCGCTGGTAGATTTGTACGTTGTTTACTGTACTTTCGGTCACTCTCACTAACTCGTTTGACATCCAGAATGCATAACTCATAACATCTCTCCCGTTTGGTACTATCCCTCTGTCAGACCAAAACCTGTGCCTGCAGATCAACAGTGCGGTCTTGTGTGCCACCTCTCGATACGGCGCAATTGATTCGTAAGTATATCTATATCCTGCAATTGATTCGTAAGTATAAGTACATCCTGCAATTGATTCGTAAGTATAAAATATCCTGCAATTTCGTTAGTATAAGCATATTCTTCATATTCGTAAGTATAGGTATATCCTGCAATTGATTCGTAGATATAAGTATATACTGCAATTGATTTGTAAGTATAAGTATATCCTGCAATTGATTCGTAAGTATAGGTATATCCTGCAATTGATTCGTAAGTATAAGTATATGCTGTCGCCTTCTCTCGCTTAGGCTCTTCTCATAAGTTTGGCTGTTACACATGCATGTCGCTGCCTCTCGCTACCATAGACCTCAGTAGTCATGTTTTAATATCGTGCTTCGCGGTTTATTGAGTGTACACAGTCGCGTGCGCCTTTAACATGTGCATGTGGACTGGAATAGTGTGTGTTCAAGCTCTTTTAAATTAAGAGACGTGTTCAACTGTATCTGTGCGTCACCGCAACCAATGTGCTTGCGTACGTATTCCAAATAACTGCCCTGCCATGGACACCTACAAGCAACAAGAAGGCTACGGCCGTGTGTGCGCTTGTGGTGTAGCGTGTGTACGTTTGTATGTGGTCGTAGTGTAGCGTGGGCTTACCCTGACCTTCTGCCGTGTGTGCGCTTATAGTGTGGCGTGTGTATGTATATACAGCCGTGTGTGGGTTGCTTCTGATACTACCGACATCTGATCGTAGATCGCTCGATGCTTGTTGTATATCGCTACAACCACCCACTCGTCCATGAGATCAAAAAGAACACACCGGTGATACGGCAAGTGTGTATAATGTGCCTACATCATTCCTAGACATGCGAACCCTGTGACCTGTACCCGGGGTACAAGGCGGATGTCTTATAAAAAACCCTAAAAACCCTGTGACCTGCACCGGGGGTACAAGGCGGGTGTCCTATGCACCTCTGTCCCCGTTTTGGGGTGCTGAGGACTCTGCTGTCCCTCTCATAGGTCCACACTGGCTACTACACGCTCTACTCTAAACCACACTGCCCATCCATCTGTTGCATCCACAACTATCATACTACTACACGCTCTACTCTAAACCACACTACCCATCCATCTGTTGCATCCACAGCTATCATACTACTACACGCTCTACTTTAAACCACACTACCCATCCATCTGTTGCATCCACAGCTATCATACTACTACACGCTCTACTTTAAACCACACTACCCATCCATCTGTTGCATCCACAGCTATCATACTACTACACGCTCTACTCTAAACCACACTACCCATCCATCTGTTGCATCCACAGCTATCATACTACTACACACTCTACTCTAAACTACACTACCCATCCATCGGTTGCATCCACAGCTATCATACTACTACACGCTCTACTCTAAACCACACTACCCATCCATCGGTTGCATCCACAGCTATCATACTACTACACACTCTACTCTAAACCACACTATCCATCCATCTGTTGCATCACAGCTATCATACTACTACACACTCTACTCTAATCCACACTACCCGTCCGTCCCATGCCCCGTGCCACAGGTGTGGTGCATACATCTCCGCGCGAGTCTTCGTGATCCTGGCGCTATTTACGCAGCTGCTAGCTATGGCTCTGCTCGTCACTGGTGTCAAGTATGCTGCCCTGAATTCCGCTTCAGTCGCGGCTCTGTGGACGTCGGTGCTGTTCATGTCCGTTACGGTCGGCTGCTTTATCGCAGGCGTGTACAAGGGTACGGGTATGGGGTTGGCCGGGAACTACAGTGTGGAGGAGAACTACTCAATCGACTGGGGCTTCATACTGTTCGGTACATCGTACGGTCTGACGTTTGTTGTGGCGTGCATGACCACCGGTTTGTTGGCCATGGGGTCTAGTAAGAACCACGCGTAGGCCCTAAGTGTATCCGGAGGTGTGCAAATTATCGGTGCGTTTCGGCCCTGTGCGGTGAATCCAGGACAGTGCGACGAGCAATCCTCAATAAAAATATTAGGCGTGTGTAGTATAGACTATAGCTCAGAAAGCACGAGTGTAGTATAATAAACTAGCTTAGGAAGCATACCATATTGATCTGTATATATATATTTATATATATATATGGCGCTAGCTATCGCGTGCTGTGCGGGTGGTACCAATTTCAACTCAGCTGTCTAATTGGCAGGGCCACACTGCACCCGAACCCATATTTATTAGACCGGTCTGAGGCTTACTTGCTCAGGTATATATAGATATAGCTATAGATATATATATATATATATATATATATGCCTCTCCGTGGTCTGTGCTTATCTTTTTGGTGGGGCTGGCGTTTGTAGTAGTATGGCATCTGGGCAAGCTGCTGGATTTACCAATCTGGTCGATAACAATCGGCAGAGCATCTTTCTGTCCTTCATGGGCGTATAGAAACGCCTCAATTCGTTACCACCCCACTTGTAGATGTGATAGACCAGTGGTTGTTGCCCGGTCCAATGAAGAGTGGATATGCGTGTTTCCCTACCGCGGTGGTGAGGTTGGGTTAGCAATCAAACGCTTATTAGACGCAGGTTGATAGTTGAGACAGGCATCGTACCGTACGGGCAAGTCTGTTGTGTATGCCGATTCCGGCCTATGAGCTATACATGGCCGTCGTGTGCGCTCGTGTTTTCAAACGTTGATATTGTACCAGATCCCGCGTCTAGTAGAGCAACCAGCCAAGTGTTCGCGCTAACGTTAGTCTCCGGTGTTGTTCCGTACAGCCTGGGAGTATTGGATAGGATTCTCAGGTATATACACACCCATCTGCTCACTGCGTAGTTCATGCCACGCACATGCAACTTCGGGAAATGGAGTGGGAACTTTAGGTATGCACTCCTACCTACTCCAGGAGTGCACTTGGTATTTCTCGACAAATCTGTGCACCGTCACTGCACCCATGTCCACAGCCATGTTCAGCAGACCCGAATCTTCTGTGAAATTCAGTAGAGCGAGATATGGCAGACCAATTCTTAGTACATGTAGTACAATTGATGATGGAGAGAGAATACGAGTGTAGTTGGTAAGACAACATCTGCAACTGTACTGTATGTACTACGCATCTATTTCAATTGTGTATTTGCGTACCGGTTGAAATGGAATGGGCTCTGTGAGATAGCACCAACAGCCTGTGCTGTATGTGTCAATAGATTTGAAAGAATCATATGCAACCAATTTTTTATAGTAGAGATGCTTTGAATTGGCAAATGCACATTCTTTTTTTTTTGCATATGTATAGTCATAGATAGGAACATGTATATACTATGCATATACATTACATATATATATATATATAGATACATATATATATATTTATGTAGGTATATA